TCGACAAACAGTTCTATTATGTCTTTCGACCAGTCCGTCTGATTGTGGACGGAGAGGCGCAGTGTGAGTTTTCTTAATACCCAATATTTTAAATACCCAAGATTCTTGTCATAACTCTGTTTCAAAATTTTGTCCATGATCAGAGTGTGTCTCTAAAGGAACTCCATGTCTTGATACAACGTATGCTATGAATGTTTCTCTGGAAAGATATTTTGATATTTTACCATGACTTCTTGTTCTAGGGCCTTTTCTACACCAACCTTTCTTTACACCAATCTTCTACATCTCAGCGACAATTGATCCAGTAAAATCTTTCTCGAACTCTGGCAAGTGTTCTTTTAACTCCGAAATATCCTTCCGAATAGACCATTGGAAAAATACAGAGGTTTCCACTGAGCCCAGTATGCCTTATAGTACGACTTTATTTGATTATTTCCTGTCAAATAGGTCTTACTCCATTTTTAAGCCATGCTCGTATGACTTTGAAGTTATTATATTTATTTTAACTCTTTTTATTTACAGGTTTGTAGGGAAGTCTGTTCATTATCTTCTTTCTGTATAACAGTGGTCCTCCGAAGACTTACTTTTTCAGTTACATTCTTTTTTTTTTAAGTTGACACTGATTTTGAACCTGTAATTCGTTCAAAGCATCCTGGAATTCTTGTAATTGTTTATTCTGTAAAATTAACTCCTGTTCTAGTTTCTATTTTATTTTTTCTAATCACTAGTTGCTCCTTCAAATTCGCAGCTTCAGATTGTTTGTTTTCCACTTCTGTGGTCAATTGTGGGAAATCGATTTTTCAGAAACCTATATCTAGTAGTATTTCTAGTAGGACAATATGACGGGCTTCTGGATGCCGATCTCATCGACCTTCTGACCTTATTATTTGGTTCTTCTGTCCTTGTCTGGGATGGACTTTTAAAATTATTTTGCACATGCCCTATTCTTCCGCGATTAAAACATATTCAAACACATAATAAGTTCTCGGGAAGAACAGCGTTGAGAATTTACCCATTTTAGAGCCATTGTCAGGAGGAATATGGTTCCGTTCGAATTCAGGGTCTCAATCTGCCTACTCCTCTCATTCGTGACGTACCAGTGTCTTGTTCTACAGAAATACGAAAACCGTCAAACGACACGGAGGTTTTTAATCTGCCTAACAAGATCAGAGAAGGACTTCTAATAGACAAGAAAGAAAAGCGGAAAAGTTGGTTGAATGACAATATACTGCAACTCATGAAGGAAAGAAGAAAATAAAAGAATAACAAAATAATGTACAATATTCAGAGACAAATAAGAACCGAAATACGAAAGGCCAAAGAAAATTAGTTAAAATCAGAGTGTGAAAAGATATAGTTATTGGAAGAACAACACAATATATTTAATATGCATCCAAAAGGTATGGTAACTTCCATCCTACATGTCTAATGACCACCTCACAAATGCTGAACTAATAAAATTGTTAACACCAACGGTACTTAACCCCTAACAAAAAATTTGATGACCTATATTTAAGCGGTGTAATACGAAGAAGATAACTTTAGTAAAAAGATAACTTTACCAGGAACCTTTAGAAGTAACAAGACAATTGAACCTTAATATATATTTTTTAGTGGATTCTCTTGGGCTTAGGTTCATAAAAAAAAATTTTAGTTTGATACTAAGACATTTTTATATATTTTTTCCGACGTTTCGGCAGGAAATCCATGCCTTTTTCAAGAATATATATTGACTAAAAAAAAAACATTTAATGACAGACATAATACGGTTTAAAAAATGAACCTTTGACTTACCAAGCATGTAAATATAAGGTATATACAATTAGACGTCACAATTAAAATACTATTAAAACATAGGACATACCCACTAAGTCACTACAAGTAAAATGTATTTTAAATCTAATGTGTTATTTATTGATGATAGTTTATTGTTTAAACAATCAGTTATTTTAACATCATAGGCGTTCTGAGATTTTTTATGCGTTTTTAAATTAAGTTAAAATATATTTTGTTCAAATTTTTGACATCTTTTTTATCATTTATTGCGTTATTATTTTTTTTATTTGTATAGACTCTAGAAGCTCTCTCTTTTTCCTGTTGGATTCACTTTTTAGAATCTTGGTTTTCTCAAAATCAAATTTGTTTTTTTTTTCGTTTTCATGTTTTGTGAGGGCGGTTGAGTTTTTTTGTCATATTTGTAGGAACGTATTCTTGAATTAAGTAGCTGACTGGTTTGTCCAATATAAACTCCATCACAATTCGAGCAGGGATTTTCATATAAAACATGCGATCTTTTTAATAGAGGGGTTTTTGTTTTCAATCTTGTAAAATTCCTTTTCAAAAGATTGTGACCTTTATGAGCAACCGTAATATTATGTTTAGACAGAAGATTTGCAATTTGTTCCGATAATCCTTTTATATAGGGGAGAGACATATAGTTTTTCTTTACCGTGTTGGTTTCATTGTTATTATTGTTATTGTAAAATTTATGCATTTAGAAATTGAAAAAAATTATCAAATTAATTTTCTGGACCTGACCTTGCATACAGAAAACAGCACTATAACTACTTCATGGTACACCAAAAAAACCTGATCGTCGAGATATCTGAATTTCAACTCTCATTATCCCCTGTCTCAAAAGAAATCAGTAGTTATCGGACTCGCTGATAGAGCTATTAGATTATCCGATCCTATCAATAGACCTCAGGCCATTAAAAAAGCAAAAACAGCACTAACACTTAATTCATACCCACACCACCTTATCGACAACACTTTCAAATCGCGACTGCATAAATTTTACATAAATATATCTCCTCAAGATCTTCCCGTTTACTGTCATACAACTACAATAGCAGAATTGAGTTCTCCATTCAACAATACATAGTAGTTTCAACCATGTTCTACCATCCATCAATTAATAGAGTACCGGCGTGTAAGTAATGTTTATTTATTTGCTCATTTATTAATTTATTACAATCTAATAGACTATTTTATAAAAATTTGTGGGCCTTACCTTGTCTGTTTAAACTTTTAAAACTTTTATACCTTTTTATTCAACTTACTCTTTTTGAAATAAAACCACAGACATGTAATATTGGCATAATTATTGTAATTTCCAACATCTACTTTGTTTATCTTTATTAGACAACACCCTAATATGGGTTATCATTTCAGCATTTATTTAACTTTGTATCGAGACCTGAAGATGCTTTGCATATTGTAGAAAGCGAAACCGGTCGTCGGATAGTTAAATTAAATTGATTGTGAGTCTTATTTATTATTTCTTTACCTATTTGAAATGGACTCACACAAGCAACACATTCATGATTTTAACAAGGTTCTATTTACATCTGCACCTCATGCAATAACATGGAAGTTGGAAAAAATCTTTTAAGAACCAAAATCAGCAGGTAAATGAAGTCTGTTCTCAAGCGCACACATACACAAATGACCTACCTGAACTTGAGTTATATTCTTAGCGTCGTTATATATATATATATATATATATATATATATATATATATATATATATATATTAATATATATATATATATATATATATATATATATATATATATATATATATATATATATATATATATATATATATATATATATATATATTAATATATTATTTATTTATATTCAATAGTTGAATAGCAGAGGTTTGATCGGTCAATAATTGGCAAATGAAATTCGTCAACTACTTTATTGTTTTACTTGAATACGTTTCGCTTTTATTTTTAAAAGTATCATCAGTTCACTACAAATAGAAAAGATCTTAGAATATAAGTGAACAACGAACTGGGTTCATACTTACAAAAACAATTTGTAGGTTTTTCTTAGATGCTATAAAAACTCTACGATAACTTAACATTAAAACTTACTAACTAAACGAAGAAAAAGAAACAAAAAACACAAGAAAACTGTAAAAGAGCACTATTGTCCATTTAATTTTGACCTATGATTTCATTTGAATGTTGGTTTAAGCTCCTAAAACCACACTAATATTTTTGATTGTTTTCTATCGTCGTAGGATATCATAATTTCACATGTGGCTTGTTTTCGTGCATGTGTTTATTTGGAATGCAGGGAGGTACGATTGTAAACGAAAAGGGACCGACCGTTTTTCAAAAAGGATTCATTTTTTTTTCTTTTTTTCTCTTCTTTAAAAAAAAAGGAAGAATAGGAACGAAGTTAATCTTTATTTGTTTTGTATGATGAGAGAGTGATATATCTGGCTCAAGTTGTCGATGTCGGTTATTTTATTTAGGGAGGCTGGATGTTTTCGAATTTGGCACACTTCAAGGATGGATCGCTTGTGATAATTTTGTTCTAAAAAACCTACAAATTATTTTTGAAAGTATGAACCCGTTGTTTATTTATATTTTAAGATCTTTTCTATTTGTAGTGAACTGATGATGCTTTTAAAAATAAATGCGAAACGTATTCAAATAAATCAATGAAGTACTCATTTGCCAATTATTGACCGATCAAACTTCTGCTATTCAACTATTGAATATATTTTAAATATATATATATATATATATATATATATATATATATATATATATATATATATATATATATATATATATATATATATATATATATATATATATATATAAAAGTCTTACGGCCATGATGCAGTATACGTTAAAATATATTTAAAATTAAAGTTGCACGTGTATGTTCTTAGTATAGTTGAGTATTGCCTGTCATAGCATAAATGTATCAACAATTTAATTTTGAAAAAAAATGTTCCTTATTTAAAACTATTGATGTTGATACTTATTCGGACATCTCTAAACAGTCTAAATTAAGTAAATTAATAAAGTGCAGAAAATTTGTAATTTTAAATATAAACAAGAATACACACACCCTAAAAAACATTGATTTGTATTTACATAAAGGAAAACACAAAGGGGAAATTTTTTACTTCAAACGTCTAATCCCAAATAGTATATTGTTTTCTAAATTACAAACACATATTTAAAATGTTAGTCTTCGTCAGAAAGTGGTTCATATTGTGAACTTAATAAAGGTTTAGGTTCGTTATTTGGTGAAGTTTCGCTGGCAGTAGTCTCTTTATGAACAAAAGAATAAAACCCACCATGTTGTGATGTTTGTTGTTGGTTAAAATCATTTTCATGTTTTTCCTCATCTATTACCATTTCTCCGGGGCTATCGCTAAGATCTTTTTCTTGAGAATGTGCCTCCTCTTGCAAATCTTTTTTATTATCATCTTCCGTTCTCATTACCTCTACAATTCTGTTTTTTACGTAGTCCAAAGGAGACATATGTGACTGCTGATTAGTAGGGTACTTTCGATAATTTTGTTCTGACCAATTATTACTTTCTGGTGGAGAAACTGGTTCCATCTTTTCCATAGATTTTTGCTGGGGCTGAGTAATTCTAATTACGTGTCTTTCATCTTGTAGAGGAGTTTGTGAACGCTTATCCTCATTGTGCTGTTGAATTCTACGTTTCCATTGCTCGTTCATATTTTCCTGAATGTGATAGTAAGGTTGTCGCGCATTAAAGTCATGACTAATAACTGAATCAGTTAGTTCTTTCACAGTAAGATTCTTGTTTAAGGTATCACCGTCAACATCAACATTTATAGTCAATGGAGATTTTTCACCATTGTCTTGAATATTTTGTGAAGCAGGTTCTTCTCTGTGAAATTTTTGAAACAGTAAATCACCTGCCCTTTGCTCCCTTGTGTTATTCACCACTTCTCTATTACCTTCGGCTGTTTGATTTATCTGATGAGTAATTATAGCATCAATTAAACTTGCTGCAGTTAAAGTACTATTATCAGATCGTGACGTTTGTCGATTCTGTAATTGCGGTTGTTTCTGTTGATGTTTTTGTTGGTCTACCTCTTCTTGTTCTTTCTCTTCTTGTTCTGATTGCTGTATTTTTTCATCCTGGTTTTCACCTTCGGGTTGTTGCTGCTCTTGCTGCTCTTGTTGTTTTACAGATTGTGGTTGTTGGTCTTGTTTCGGTTGATCTTGTGATATCATTAGTTGTTGTTGTGTTTGTAGTACTTGCGTTTGCTGTGGTGGTTGTGACTGTAGATGCGTTTGTTTCTGCTGTTGGGGTTGTTGATGAGATTGTTGTGAATGTTGATGTGATTGTTGCTTTTGTGACTCTTGTAACTGTTGTTGAGGTTGTTGGAGCTGCAGCTGTTGTTGATGACACACAGAGCGTCGTTGTTCTTCTGCTCTTTGTGGATGTTGTCGAATCTGCTGATGTACAATTTGATATCGATGTGGTTGGTCCAAGATATTATCTGCCATTGTCTTACCAAGACCTTCATGAGCATTTGGTACTGGCAACGATGGTTGCTGAACTGCAACGTCAACTAGAGAAGATAATGCTTCGTGACCTGGTTGGATGTACTGTGGCCTTGCATTTCTTTGTATTACCCCTTGTCGTTGTTGCTGGCTAGGTTGTGATGGAGACGGAGTACGATGAGTTGAATTTGTGGGATAGAACTGTGATTTCTCATTTCTTCTACCTAACATTTGTTGGGATGTAATGTAGTCATTAATAATTATTTGTCGAGAACTCAACTGTTGTTCTACATTATATGCTTGCCTGTATTGTCCAGAATATTGTTGACTTGATTGTATTTGTTGTACAGGCACAGTTCCTCTTTTATTAAAGTAATCAAACACCCTCTTTTCTTGCATGTTATGCGGTATTACAGGCGTACCTTGAGTAATAGAGCCCATTTTAGTATCTGGTATTTGTCTTAAAACTTCGTATCTTGGCTGAGACATAATAGGGGTACCTAGTGTAATTGAACCTGATTTGGGGTTAGCAAGCTTCGAAGTAGACATTTTCGTTGGTGATCTAACTGAAAATGCTGAACTTTTCCGCTCTTGATGGTAAACATAAGAATCGCGATGTATTTGTTGTTGAGACTGTGTTTGAGTTTTGTTATGTACAGGTTGAAGTGTTTCTCTGGGTTTCTTTAAGCTGAGATCTAATGTTTCCGGTTCTCTACCGTCTGGAACTTGCAGAACTATTAAATCGTCTCTAGACGACTGAAGCGATTCTACTTGATTTTGTGATTGTACAGGTCCAGATACAGGTGTTATTGTGGCTCCTATAAGAGGAGTCACTAATTTTGCTAAATTAATATCAGAACGTTGTTGGAGTTGTTGTCTTTGTTGATTGTTTATGTTGTTTAGATTATATTCACTAACAATAGTTACCTCGTTAGAATCATTATTCAAAATTGAAGATATAGTAGGAGCCATACCACTTGATGGAGGATTTTGAGTTTGTTGTCCTCCTGGATTTTTCATAAGCGAAAATTCTATCACGTTCAACACCAAATCCTTAACGCTTAGTGGTTGTCCATCATTACTAACTGGTGTTATAGTTGCAGCTCCTTGAAATTGGTCTGGAGTTTGAGCTTCATCTGCCGTTTCTGTTGCACTAGAATCATAATCTATTTTTTTTATTATGCTATCATTTGAACTTTGCACAGGAGGGCTTTCGGCTGCACTAGCCGTGTCACTAGAATGTCTATCACCGTCAATTAAATTTTCCTCACAACTTGAAGTACTTGAACCACTTTCTTCATCAGTAGATAAAGCTGGTTTTCGATCTTCACCTAAACATTTTTTAAGTTTCTTTCGATTTGCGGCAACATATATTTTTACCGTCTGAGGTGGTTTATTTAATCGTTCTCCAATCAATTGCCAATTATAGCCTAGTTCCATCAAAGCTGCTTCGAGTTCATTAAATTCTTCTTCTGACCATTCTTCTATTGGGCCCAATCTTCTTTGAATTCTATTATAACATGCGAACAGCATTTTGTTACCCCATTTGGAATTCGAAATTCAACTAAAAGTGGCTCTTTTACATCCAGCGGTAGTTCTTGCAACCGCTCTGGCAAAGATCTTAACCTTTTAATTCTCCCTCTAGAATTTGGACATGATGGTAAAGGACAATGTGTGTAACGAGACCGAACCGATTTACATCTACAAGTATTACAAACTCTTGAATTTGGCGGTATTTGATCCTCACTAAGATCATAAAGTGATGCTTGACTAGAGCACAAGGGGCGGGAATTAAGTTGGGGACCCAGTTGAGCTTGGCATAACAAACAATTTCCTGGAGCTGTGATATCTAAAAAAAAAAAAGACAATTAATTTCTATACTCTAAATATATAAGTTTATAAAATATTTAAAATATTGATGATTTTAATAAATTAATGAATTAATGAATATTATGGAACACAATATACAATAATGTTGTCTGTGTCTCATGAAATACCGAAAAGCAGTGATCATCATTTTCATTATCTCAAAAATTTTGAAAATATTTTGAAAATCATTTATAGAATCACATAATTAAATACATTATTTCGAAAAGGATACAGGTCCATTAATTAAAACTTCTGTTCCGTTTCACTAGAAAGGAGTATAAATCCGTGCCATTCACAAACATACTTAAGTGTTTGCTTGTCTTTTATGTTGACTTGTTGTACTTATATGCAGATGTGCCCTTTTTCCATCGAGCAATAAGACAAAAGAGGGAATGTAAAGGTAGTGGGGGTAAACATATTGATAGACAGGAAGTGCCATCTTGAGAGGCCACTTTAGACAAGGATAGACAGTCTCTTTCCTTGTTTAAGAAGTCAAATTTAGTTAGGTTATTGTTTGTTCCAACTGTCACATGAAATTTTATTTATATTGAAATCTTTTACCAATTGTGTCACTTTTTAGACTATTATAGTTAATATTTAATTAAAACTTTCTCGTCTGAAAAATATTTTATAGCTATTGTTAATAAGTGTTGGAAAATTTAAATTTAGCGCCTTTGCATTTCCGGATATGTCCGCCATCAGAGGCCACTTTATTAAGACTGCCTCGGTAACGCAATGAATAAACCGGTGGAGGATTCACAAGTTCAAATCTTGATAGATAAGAGATTTTTCTATTAAAAAGAAATTCTCACAAATTAACACTGAGCATAGTAGAGTCTCTGCTGTATTGACTCCTGACCTGTAAGTTTAAAATATTTACAGCTTATGTTTATCAAATTTGTTTGATTAAACACCATATTTACATAATAGATTATTTATTTTTGTTGTAGATAAAGCGGTCCTTTGGCCTAGTAGATTGAGACCAAATTGGGAAATAAACGATCTTTTGTATATAATGTACATCCATATTTGTGGCTGTCAGGAAGTCTTAGCGGCTTCCGTAAAGTATGGGATTCAACAAGCACTTAAATCTTTACTTGCTTCTTCTTGATGTGCTTATCCGTTACGAATGTTGGCGATCATCATGGCAATCTTTATCTTATCTGCAGCAGCGCGGAAAAGCTGCACAGATGTTGTATTGAACCAGATTCTGAGGTTCTTCAACCAAGATGTTCTTCTTCTTCCTGGACCTCGCTTTCCAAATATTTTTCCTTGCAGGATGGCTTGAAAGAGAGCATATCTGGATTCATTTCGCATAATATGCCCGAAGAATTGTAACTTTCAAGATTTAATGGTGGTCAGTATCTCTCGGTTCTTATTTATTCTTCTAAGGACCTCCTCATTTGTGACTCGGTCAGTCCACGGGATCTTAAGTATTCTCCGTTTACTTGCTACGCCCATCATGTCTAAGAAACTTATCTTATACATCTAGACGAAAGAGGCTTTACGGAAGCCGCTATCACATTGCAGATCTGCTATCACATCCAAGCAGTCTATAGATAGGGGTGTAAGATACCGAAATCTGGTATCGATACTTAGTAGCAGCGCCTATTTTGTTCGGGGGAGAGCAAATGGAGAAGTTCAATGCGCTAGAAAGAGACATATCGAACAACCGCAAAAGATGTTGTCACTGCTCGTTACTGGCATGCTCAATCTATGCTAATATGTACATGTATGGGGTAAATATTATAAATTTAGATTTTGGGTAAAATTTGATAGTTAAATTACACATGAACACATTAAACCATAGATAAATCATCTATTAAAAAAAACATATTCTCTTAAGAATTTTTAAAGCCGAATTTATTATTTTCTTTAAAATTTTCCCGCTTCATAGTTCACGTAATGTTTTTCTAAAAAATTCTGGAATAAAAATTTTGAGAAAACTGATTTTAACCTAAAAATGTTTTTTTTTTAAATTCATGTTCTCTCTTTAATTATCTTAACTTCCATATGTGTCCATTTTCTTTATAATCATTCTCTGTGTAATAACGTATCGATCTGCCCTCATAGGTCAGTGTTTCAAAGGTTTAGTATGTAAAGACTATTTACACTTAAATTGAAAATGAATGCATAATACAGTTATTAAGACAGAAGATTACAATGGTCTTTATATAAGATTGTTTAAACCTCCGATGGGGGCTGCACGATCTTGACGTAGGTTCGGAGGCTTAAGCTGACTGTTCAGATAGGGCTGTAGTCTGGCGTAGGAAGTGGAACAAGTATGTGTGTGTGAATGAATGGGATCTCCCTAATAAGGAGCTCTCCGCTGAATGAAGGTACCTCGTATAAACGGGCTAGGCCTCATGAATGGGAAGTATAGAAAGATGTAAAACGACCACGCTAGAACAGTTCCTGTCACCAAATAGCTCTCTGGGGTATCTGCGGATCTCTCCTAGGTATTCGAGAGACTAGGAATGGATGAACTGCTTCAGCGACCAAGAAGCAGCCTACCCAAGCTAAGGTGTGAGGTAATCGTGCCGATGGCTGTATGGCCACAGGGTTTTATGTGGTCGTGAACGATCCCCGGGGGGAACTAGGCAAACCGGATTGTATAAAGCATTCCCCTGGTAATGCGGGGCTCTGCCAGGGGCGACCAACCTTTCCCTAGCTACTCGTGGGAACAACATAAATACAAAAAACAAAAAAAATCCAAAACCAAATTTCGAGGTTGGACCAAAACGTTCACCTCAGTCTGAGGCCGTAGTTGAGGATGGACAGCAATGTTTATCTCAAATCTCGGCCCAACCGGAGGCTGGACCAAAACGTTCACCTCAGCCTGAAGCCGGAGCTGAGGATGAACAGCAATGTTCACCTCAAGTTTCGGCCCAAGCGGAGGATGGACAAGGACCACCTCAGAAAAATCGGCTTAAACGCCGCAGAATTTGCGGCGTCAAGGCAAAAAGAAGGAGGAAGGCTAGAGAGGCAATGGGAAAAGCACCCACGGGAGCAGCTCATACCACCCCAGCCCCTCCCAAAACAAAGGTGAAGGTGCCCACATCGGAGGCTGACAACGGTTCCACCTCCAATATACTATGGATATATATGGACGGCATATATCCAGCCCTACTACGGTGAGGACTGGATATCGTTCTGCTGCACCTCGTGGAAATATTCAGAGCCTCTTTAAGATATATTCCTAGGAAGTAGAGAGAGGTACGTGTGGTCTTCATACCAAAACCAGAGGTAGGATGGACTACACCCTACCAAAGGCTTTCCGACCAATTAGCCTAACATCTTTTTTGTTGAAAACGATGGAAAGGCTATGCGAGAGGTACATAAGGGATGAAGTTCTAGTCCATAACCCACTTCACCCAAATCAGCATGCATATACTTCGGGAAGATCTACCGATTCTCCACTGCATCATGTAGTGGGAAGAATTGAAAGATCGCTGGATAATAAAGAATCCACCCTAGGCATATTCATAGACATTGGGGAAGCGTTTGATAAAACCACATTCCCAACCATCACCCAACAGCTAAACGTCAGAAATGTTCTCCTGGCCATAAGCGAATGGATATTCAGTATGCTCTCCAATAGAGCAATAAGCTTAAATGTAGAAGACGTTTCTATCAGAGGCATGGTTACGAGGGGGTGTCCACATGGAGGAGTACATCACCACTCCTCTGCAACATAGTTCTAGATACCCTGGTTGACCACCTCAGCAGCAATGGTTTCTACACAATAGCCTATGCAGACGATATTGCTGTCCTGCAAAGCAGTAAGTTTGAGAACACACTATGTGAGAGATTACAAGTTGCTCTCCAACTAATAGAAACATGGTGCAAGGAACACTCACTATCTATAAATCCTAAGAAAACAGAGATGGTCCTCTTTACCAGAAAAAGAAAAATCACGGGCTTAATACCACCAAGGATTCTAAACTAAAGTCTAAATTTTTCTGACGAGGTGAAGTACCTTGGTATTACCCTTGACAGGAAGTTAACATGGAACTCACACTTAGATAGTAGAGCTAAAAGAGCATATATTGCCTACGAGCAGTGTCGACGAACACTTGGACGCACCTGGGGGCTTTCGCCCAGGGTGATCGCCTGGATCTACACTGCTGTCATTAGGCCAATGCTAACTTACGGAGCTATTGCTTGGGTACCAAAAGTGCTACAAGCAACAGCGATAAACAAACTAAACCATATTCAGCGGATGGCTTGCATAAATATAACAGGTGCCATGAAAACAACACCAACTGCCGCAATGGAGTTGATCATTGGCATCACGCCTCTAGATATATATGTCAAAGAGATGGCGCTAGTGACAATGATCCGACTGCGCTCAGCTGGTGCAAACCTTTATGTAGGAATGGGGCAATTGAGAACTCGTTTCTGGAGGGGAGAGCTGGATGCGCTACCACTGCTACAGGCAGGCTGCGATTCAATTGAACCAAAGTTTGTCTTTAACAAACCCTACAAAATCGAAACAAGAGAGTATAGGAGACAAACGTGGCAAATGCCTATTGCATATACACCGATGGCTCCAAAATGAAAGAAGGCTCAGGATGCGGGATATACTCCAGATCACTAAACCTAAGAATAAAGTGGGGCATGGGCAAAAATGCCAGCGTAGTTCAGACAGAACTGGCTGGTAT